CCTGTGGAGAGATTGCCTCAGCTGATCAGCAGGAAAACTGCCAATGGAAAGAGAAACTTTCCTTCTCACAGCAAGAAAAGCAAAAAATCTGTGGGCATTTCAGGGAACTGCTGATGGAAACAGATGGAGATGGTGGCCAAGAAGTGGAAAGGCCTCAGCTGGGAGAACATCCCCCAGGAGAGTGAGACACCACAGAGGGTTACGAGGACAGTCTGCCCTAGAGAACCAGCTGAGATCCTTGCTCAGGGAAACTCAACATCTACTAATGCCTTCCATTTTCCTTCTTTTTTGATTCTGCCTTCATTTATTCTCTACTCTCTTTCTTCTCAGATGGACGTAGAAGAAAAAACTAAACAAAAATAGAAGACAACTGAGTTGCACCTACCACTTGTACAAAGGCAAAGTAGGGCAGTAAGAAATGGTTGAAAGTTGTTACTACATAGATCCAGAGGCCTTCAAGCCTTCTTTGTGACCTGTCTTGTCTTTTGGGAAGTTACCGGTGTGATGTTCTGTTCTGTTATGAAGACACTGAAGAACAAGTAATTTATGAAGCTGACTGGAAGGTCCTTCAAAGACTTGTGGAGATCGCTTGGAATGTAAGAAATATGTCAAACTTTTTTGCTTCAACAATTTCAAATACAAAGTTATCTTAGAAGAAAACTGCAAATTTAGTCTACAGTCTACCCAAACTTTTAAAGAAAGTTCAAGTTGCCAATATGTGTGCAAGACACACTGGTATCACACAGAGAACGGCATCTTTCCTTAGCCAACTGTTTTATTTGTCAGCCATTTGGCATAACCGAGTACAATTTTGCAATAGTGTTGACAAGCAGGTACTCAACGATAAGAACACAAGAAATTTTGGCTGGTCAGAAGCTTGCAGAAAAAGACCTTTCCTAACTCATCCATTAGGTGGTGCTCCAAGAGTACCAACAGAGAAGGCTTTGCTGCTCTTCAGTAGCTCCAGAAGGAGCAGAAATATGCTTAGCTTGATAGGCTTCAAACTATGGTAGCAAAAGTTGGACCATAGCAGTGCACACATTCGGAAAACAATTTAACATATGACTTTCCCTTCTTGAATGTGTAAAGTCTCTGCAAAACACACTGTTTAC